TTTACTCTGATCAAGACCTTTAAAACAAAAAACAAATATTGGTAATAGCTCGAAAAATGAGGGAGGAGTTCCAATTTTTCTGATTGGAAATCATGTTCTGAGAAAAGCGTTAAAAAAGTTTTAGAAGTGGTTTTTTTCGGTCAAATTCAAAAAACTCATATTAAAATGGCATATTTTCAATAAATTTTCTAAAACTATTTTAAGGCGCGTAAAAGATGCAGTAAAACTAACGCCATCTGACATGCGGGTTAATATCAAAATGTTTTATTCAATGATAATTGAAGTAATAACGGAGTTTTTCCAAAACAGAAAAACTTTAAAAAACCACGAAAATTATGGTAAGGAAGTTAAAGTCTGATTTGACAAGTCTTTGAAAAACGGATCATTTTCCAAAAACCTATATATATTCTGAAAGAGGAAGCTTCGCTCTATCTTCCTGTGGTAAAAACTCAATTTCGATATTGTTTGGAAAAAATCGATTTTCTGAGGGGGGGGTCCCCATAAGATCACCCTCTTTGATTTACAATCTATCAAATTCCAGGCTGTTCTTATTTCGAAACACTTTTAGGTTTATAACACGAGAATTCTCGATGGGCAGTCCCGAATCGGCACTTTGTTATCAACTTTTCCTTATTTCTTCAACCCAATTGTCTAGTAGAAAAGCCAGAGTTTTATAAGAATTCCTGATTACTGCAATCTTAGTGCAGTATCCTCAATAAACCTAGCTTTCACATAGATCTTTTCCGAAGCGAATCTAGAGTGTACTTGCAATATTAGTGACTAATCGTTCGTTGGCGTCCCTCCGCGATGCCACTCATGGCTAGTCGCTTCATTATTTGAATACATTAAAACAATAGTCGGTTTTTCTACATTTATGATAAAAGATGTGACCTCATTTACAAATATCTTTTTATATTAGCTTCTTCGAGATATGGTGACTATAGAAATTACACAAGTCAGAACTCCTGAAAAAATATGCAAATAATTGAATAATTAGCGAGAATAAAATATAATGAGACTAGACTTAAATATCAATAATGTCGGATCGACTAAAACTAGGCTTTGAGTTTCAGCAATACTTGTCGGCGTGGATTCGAACGTTGATGGGGCCCTAAATGCGTTTTTTGCATGAATCCAATTCTACATGTTATATTTTTTTCTGGCACATATCTATTTCTAGAACCACATCTACAAGAACACATACCAACAGAAAAACTGCCTCTTATTTCATTCATATCTACTTTCGATACAGCGAATATAAGTTCTTTGAGTAATGTTTTCTGTGAAATGTACTATTTAAATATTGTATACGTGCAGAAAAGCCATTCTCACACTTTATTTAAATTATTTCTCAGTCCTTTGCCACTGCTAGCCGCTATTCAAACCCATCGGATCTACATTGTTGATATTTATCCGATGAATCCCAACACCCTGGAGCTTTCTTTCAGGGAAATTTCGAGTGCAGCGGCTAGTCGCTCGTCAGCGCCACGCGCGGCTAGCCGCTGCCACGTGTAATCCTATTCGCCATTAAGATCATCCGCTTTGATTTACTTTCTATCAAATTTCCGACTGCTCTTATTTCGAAAAATAGTTAGATTTATAACATGAGAATCTCGATGGGCAGTCCTGAATCGGTACTCTGTTATGAACTATTCCTTATTTCTGCAATCTCATTGTCTATCTGGAAAATCACAGTTTTATTAGAATTCCTAATTAAGCGAATCTTAGTGTAGCATTCCTAATAAACCTAGTTTTCATACAGATCTTTCCAGGAGCGTACGAGGAATGCCCTTGCAATATCAGCGACTAGTCGTTCATCCGCGCTCCTGCAGGGCGTCACTCATGGCTAATCGAGCCATCATTTGAATACATTAAAACAATAGTTCGTTATTCTCCATGTACCGTAAAAGTTGTGACGCCATTTACAAATACCGTTTTACATTGACTTCTTCAAGTTAAAACCACTGATTAGCTGAAATTTCAATAGGAAAATATCTGATTGGTTGAAAGCCCAATATCGAAAGCCCCTGATTGGTTGGACTTCTGGACTGAAAGAATCCGATTGATCAAAAGCCCGATGTCGAAAATCCCTGATTGGCTCGAATTTTAGCCTGAAAGAATCTGATTGGTCGAAAGGCCGGTATCGAAAACCCCTGATTAGCTGAACTTCGGGAGTGAAAGAATCTGATTGGTCGGAAGCCCAATATCGAAAACCCCTGATTGGCTGGACTTCTGGGCTGAAAGAATCTGATTGGTCAAAAGCTCGAGCTCGGAGATATCTGATTGGCTGGAACCCTGGTCGAAAAAATCTCATTGGTAGCAAGTCTGATATCGAAAATCCGTGATTGGCTGACTATCCGTATTGAAACAATCTGATTTTCCAATCCGTTATTTTTTTGACCTTTGACCTTTGACCCTGACAGCCACCCACATACACACAAACTTATTTTTTTTCATATGACCCTCCCTACAGTCGAGGGAATAAAACGCTAATGAGTTCACCCTGAATGCAAATATTTTCAGCGACCACCTAGGAGACCAATACCACGCTCGCGTACAAAAGAACTTCAACCATATCGGCACAGGTCCAAACGCTCTTCAATTCGATCGCCTTTGGTTTCAATTCCTTGTCTATAGATTAGATGTCACAAACCAATTTGAAAAAACTCGAACAGCTACTTTCCGACAACTCTGAACTATGAACTTTTTATCTGCAAAGCTAAATTCCCAGCTTCAAAATCCTGATTTCCTCAAAGGCTGGAGATGGAAAACATCTGACTGACTGAACTTTCATCTTCAAAAAGCTCATTCGCCCAGACCTAGAAATGGACAACATCGGATTCGCTCGATTCCTAGTTCCACAAAATCTAATTCGTCGAGAGTCCAAAATAAAACAAACCCTGATGGAACGAAAACTCACTTCCCAGAAAACTGATTGAATGAAAGATGCAGGACGGAAACATGTGATTCGCTGAATTTCTAGCTTCCAACACCTGATTGGCTTAAAACAGGAGGTGAAAAACATCCGATTGGCTGTATTCCTAGCATGCTACAACCTAATTCGTTGAATTCCCAGCTCTCGAAACTTTGATTGCCTGACAGAGGGTGGTCGTAAACATCTGATTGCCTAAATTCTCAGCATGCTAAAACCTGATTGTCTGAAAGCAAGGGGTCCAAAATATGTGATTGGCTGAATTCCTAGCTCCCAAAAATCTGATTCGCTGACAGCGGGTGGTCGAAAACATCAGATTGTCTAAATTCCCACCATGCTAAAACGTGATTGGCTGGAAGCAGGACGTCGAAAACGTCTCATTGGCTGAATTTCCAGCATGCTAAAATCTGATTGGCTGAAAGCAGGAGGTCGAAAACATTCGATTAGCTGAATTCTCAACATGCTAAAATCTGATTGACTGGAAGCAGGAGGTCGAAAACATTTGATTGGCTGAATTCTCAGCATACTAAAATCTGATTGGCTACAAGCTGGAGTTCAAAAACATTTTGATTGACTGAATTTCCAGCATGTGAGAACCTGATTGGCTGGCAGCTGGAGGTGGAAAACATTTGATTGGCTCAATTCCCAGCATGCTAAAATCTGATTGGCTGACAGCTGGGGCTCGAAAAGATCTGGTTGTCTAAGTTCCTAACTTCGAAAAACTTGATTGGACGAGAGTAGGAGAATAAAATTGTCTGATTGGCTGAGCTTTAAACCTGAAAAAATTTGATTGGTCGAAAGTCGGATATCGAAAACACATGATTGGCTGAGCTTCCAACCTGAAAATAACTGATTGGTTGAACAGCACGTATCGAAAAACATCTCATTATTTTGATCTTTAAGCTAATGTGTTCTTTTGACCTTGCCACAAACACACAGCATACTCATTTTATTTCATATGACCCTCCCTTCAGTCGAGAGAATAAATAATGATGAGAAAAAACTGTGCCCAAATGTGACTATTGACTCCAATAAAGAAATATTATCTTATGGAAAATCTAAAAAAAAGTCCCATCTAGTGTCTTATAAATTAACTGGAAAGAATAAAGGAGGGGGGAGCTAAGAAGCAAAAACGGCCCCTCGTTGGAATTCGGTCTTGTCTTTCGAATTTTATCAGTTTAGGTGCCAGAAGTCTATTTCTATTGAAATTAGAAAATTTGATGCGTTCCACATTGTGCGTGACTCGACTTAGTTATTCTTCTTTTCTCCATGTTATATAGGACATATATAATGGTAGTGTAGCACTTTTAATTATCAGAAACATATCGATCCATTCCGGATCATATAGTAATCGATAGCTCTCGAAGAGATCTATCAGATGATGATAAAATATCTAGAGAAAAAAGTGAGTAAGTGAATCTAGTGATCGACACAATGGAGACAGGGTCATATATTACAGGGTATGGAGCGATGGTAGAGAACTTTTGTCTATGAGAAAC